AAATGCCTTGTTTGCCCTGAAGGGTGTCCCAGATCAGGGTGGGGGTCCCGCTTGGGTGCCTGGCCAGTCTGGATGAGGGGCTGAGGGCCGTTTTCAGGCTGACTGACGACTGAAACTCCCTACATCTCCTTTTTTTCTTTTTTTTTAATTCTGGGATTTATTTACCTTCTATAATTGAAACTTTGTTGCTGTCACTGGTGCCCTCAGCTCTGAGGCCATGGCTGGCTGAAAGCAGGTATCTGGGGTTTGTTTACCTTCTATAATTGAAACATTGTTGCTTTCGGAGCTTAGAGCAGGCCACGGCAGGCGGGGAACCTTGGCTTCCTCCATCACTTGGCTTCCTCCTGCTCGCTTCAGCTGCGTGGCTGCCAGCCGCCATCTTGGTTGGCAGTTAATTTGCATATCGCCCTGATTAGCCAATGGGAAGCATAGCGAAGGTACGGTTAATTACCCTTTTGTCTTTTATTAGATTAGATTCTGTTCAGCCCCAGAGAAAAATGTGTCTTTCAAATTCTGGGCCCCCTAACATGGAGGAAACTCTATTTATACTTTTTCTAGTCCTTTGTCTCCCAAATTTGGAATGAGACTTCCAGGCCTTCTGAGAAAGAAGGCCTGCATGCTGGGAAGGGGCCATGAGACCATATGCCTTGAGATATATGCCTAGTGTCAGCACTGACAACTTTGTCTGGGGCATAGTTTATGGCCTCTCTGGAATGGGAGTTGTCTTATTTTCCTTATTTTTTAAGCAAGCAAGCATTTACAGAAGCCATACTGTCAGGGTTAAAATTTCAAACAGCAGTTTTTATATAAGATAGATGCTTCAGGACAGTCTCTCCCAGGGAGACTCCTGGTCCTGATGACTGTGCTTGGGGAGTCTAAGAGACAAGATGTGAGAAGTCTGCTGCTCAGAGCAGGGCTCTGTGTGGAGGGGCACGAGGCGGGCAGCTGGGGGGTGTCACTCTCCTCAGCTTTGGCAGAATAAGTATACTCTGCCTCTCACGGCCTTTGGTCCTGAGCTGTTGACACGATCACCCGGTTACACTGGGTTGCTAAGCAGCTCTCTGGACACACAGATGACCCCCAGGGCAGGTGTAGAGAGCAGGGCTCTCAGGCAGAACAGTGTCTCCATCTTTGGGAGGAGCCCTAGGGGCTCGGGGAATGACCGCCAGAGTGATGTTTATCTTTCCACTGGGCAACAGAGCACCAATGGGTCTGGGAGACCAGTGCACTCTGCCTGGCAACCTGTCCTTGCACAACACGAGGGCCCGTTCCCGACGTGAAAATGCAGCACAAGCGTTCCCTGGATGTGTGGCTGGGGGACTTGAGGGGTGCCTCCTAAGCCAGAAGCACATGAATGTGGTTTGAGGAGGTGGAAACCCACACACATCACCTATGAGATTCCCCGTTGTGAGGAGTGGTCAGGGGCAGGGTTGGCTGGGCCTCTGGGGCTACAGGTAAGATGTAGGGCACAGGGGCCTTGAGACCAAGGATATCAGTTCTCTCCAAAAGGCACGCTTCTCCTCCCACAAAGCAGCCTCTCTGAGCCACCTGGGTCTCATACAGTCCTACAGGCCAATAAGAGTGTACTTCTGTGGCAGACACACTCTTCGAAGGGCCTTGCATATAGCAATAGACTATATATTGAAAGCATTTACATTTCACACCAACGCTGTCAGGTAGGTATTATGACTATCCCCATTTTACAGATAAGGAGACGACTACAAATAGGCTAAGTGACATGGTTGCGGTCACCCAGCTGGTAAGTGACCGCGTCAGGATTGGACAAAGTCAGGCTTATTTTCTGTGTTGCAGAAGCTTAGGCTTCAGGAAACCAGCCCACTTGCTTGAAACCCCACACCCAGGGCAGAGGGTGGCAGGGATGACAGGCATTTGGCCAGAGGAAGTGGGGAGGGCGGGACCGCTCAGCTTGTTTTCGGTCATGTTGATTGGAATTCACCTGACAGAGGGGTAAACTCCCGTGACCCCAAGACTGTGATCTCCAGGAAGGAGCACTCGGGCCATGAGTCAGCCCAGGTGGTGGAGCCTAGTCACACTCACCCAGCCCCGGGTGTCATCACCATGAGCTCCTGACCCCAGCACCAGCAGACCGTCGGGGTGCCCACTCACTCCTCAGAGGGAAGGGGCAGGGAGGAACAGGGTCTGAAAGCTGACGCCGGCCCCTGCGAGCAGCAGGGACAGACAACATGCTATGTTCTTGATAAAACAGCTGCTGCTGACTGTTGCCACTGGACACCTGAAAGCTGGCAATGGGGTGGGAACCTTTTATTTGAAGCAAGTGAATTATAGCATTGCCCCAATCCCCCCCAGCCCCGGCATCCTGCCCGTGCCTGCTCCACCACCTCCTGCCTCTTACCCGCTATCCCCAGCACACTACCTCGCAGCTCTATCCCCAGCGCACAGCAGGGGGCAGCAGAAGCTTGGTTCCCAGGTGCCACTCCACAGGGCAGGCCCTCAAACCTCTACCGCCCAGTTTGCCCTGAAAGGCAGTGCCCCTGGGGTGTGCATCTGTGGCCTGGAGGGGTGCCAGAGCCCCCAAGATGCTCTCCAGCCCGGCTCTACTCCTGGAACCTGCCCAGATGACTCGAGTACTTGCAGGGTCCCTGGCCTGGCCAGCTCTGGGTCCTGGACAAAGGATCCAGCACAGCTCAGGGTCCACATCGCAAAGGAGGGCTGAGCCTGGGGGCAGGGTGGGTGTCTGAGGCGGGGCAGCTACAGGAAGGAAAAGCAGGAAGGCTTTGTCTGGGTAGTCTGCCCGCCATGGTGACAGGGTCAGAGAAGAACGCTCCAGTGAGAAAAGGGCCAGCACTGGGAGGGAAGACGTCTGGGTTTGCTAGGGTTGTTGTTGTTATTGCTTTGGGCAAAGGGGCTTTGCCACCATTCCCATCCTTATCAGCCAATGGGTGGGCACACCAGGGGTGAGCAGAGGAAGACGGTGGTAATGGAGGACAGGCAGGTAATGGAGGCGGGCCGGGCTCCTTTTGGCGGGGCCGGGTCTGCATGTGTGCACAGGGAAACGGGTGTGGACAGGTATGTGTGCGTGTGGCTGAGGGCGTTGTGTGGTGCAATGTGGGGCATGAGCAGGTTGAACAGACCCCTGGAGCACCAACAGGAGAGACCAGAGGGTCAGAAGGATCAGCCCAAGACCCTCCCTCCCAGCACCCCTCCCTCTCCCCAGGCCAGAGCTTGTGGAAGGCAGCAGATCCAGGGGGGGCCTGCAGATGGGGTGTGGGATCCACAGGCGCCCACAGATGGGAGGGTCCCAGTAACTGGCTTGCCAGGTGTATACACAAGTCCTCATGCTAATTACGATGAGGATCAGCTCCCGGGGCCAGTCCATGTGGTGCCCATGCTCACCAGGAGTGTGTGTGCATGAGGTTAGCTACATGTGCCTTCACACAGACAGGCACCCACGCTGCTCACACAGAGGCCCCCCCTCAGCCTCCAATCCAGAGGCCTCGGCACCCCGCTAGGCACTAAGATCCACCACTACGTGTCGGTACACAAGCGTCTGTCCCTTGAAGCTGGGGGCCAGGAGCAGCTGGGCGTCCCCAGCAAGCATGTAGCAGAAGGCTCGAGGGGCTTGCACAGCCAGCTCCTGGAACCGTATGAACTTCTGCCGCCCCTCATCCCACTGGTAAATCTGGGTGAAGGAGAAGTCGCTGCCCAGCGCCAGGTAGCGGCGGCCACCCACAAGGAAGGGCTGCAGGGCCATGGAGCCGCGGGAGGGCAGGGCCTGCACCTCCGAGAAGCGGGTGCCCTCCCAGCGCAGGATCTTGGAGTCCCCGATGTAGCGGCTGAGGCACAGGTAGCTGTCCCGCCCCGCACGAAAGTGTTTCACAGCCTGGGCATCAGGCACCTGCGTCACCTCACCCTGGGCCACAAACTGCTTCTGGGTGCGACTCCACTGATAGATGACCGGCGCCTGGGAGCTACTGGACACGATCAGCCGGGGCTTGCCCTCGCCATCCACAAACTCCAGGTCGGTATCACGGTGCCAGGGGTGCAGGGCCTGGTGGGAGTAGAAGCCATTCTGGTGCCAGCGGTAGAGGCTGGTGGCACCCGCCTTGGAGCTGTCAGCCACGGCAAAGTACCAGTCACCATCGATGCGAAAGGCCTCCAGGTCGTTGGGCTTGCGCACACGCTGTGGGTCGATGTCCTGCAGCTTGGTGAAGCGCGTGGTGTTGGGGTCCCAGTGGTAAATGTAAGAACCACCAAACAGCTGGGCCACCACCACGTACAGCTGGCTGTCCACCACCATGGGTTTGCAGTGCACGGCCGAGGGGGCTGCCGGGACACAGGGAAGCAGCGTCAGGCAACACAGGTAGCTTCATGACCATGCCCAGCCTCAGAAAAGAGGGTCAGTCCCCACCGACCCTGGGCCACAGACACAGCCACGTCCCTCCACCACAGCAGTCCCCCTCCCCGCCCTGAAGTTACGCTAATCGCTTCACAGCTAACACAGTTAGTGTCAGCATCACCCTCCATCCACCCTTGAACCCCAGGTTCAAATATACTAACATGAGCACAAAATAGGTGTTCCTAGATATTCATTGACTGTTTAACCATAGTGTTAATTATTGAATTTATATTGTGTACAGTTACTGTGCGAAGTGTGAACCTATTACCCCAATTAGTCACTCTGAAATGCACCCTATTATTTTGCCATTTCACACAGAAAGAAACTGAGGCTCACTGTCTGACAAGTGGCCAGGCTGGGGAAGGAGGGGGAGTTTGAACTCATCCACAGCTCAAGAACATTCTCCCAAGAACTCCCACTTTTGAAAGGCTTTTACGTATGAGCACAGATGTGCTTGTGCTCAACCAGACTGATTTGACCCCTTCCCAGGCACCCAAAGCTTATGGGCTACACTCCCCACCTGTCCTGGTGTCTCAAGTCATCGCTTTCACGAACTCTCCCGCCCCCCATCGCTCCACCCCTCCCCAAGGGAAGTCCAAGCTCAGCCTCAGGCTCTGGCAGTTACTGAGTCCCTCCTGCAGCCTCCGTCTGCTCACCCAGCTCCTGGTAATTGCCCAGCTGCTGACCATCCACTCCTGAGCCACCGCAGCTCAGACTCTCCAAACACTCCCAAGCACCTCAAACTCCAGCTGGCCAACACTGAGTTCCACATATACCCTTAACCCTACTCCTCCCCATCCTTCTGTGTACTTAATGTCAATCTGTGGCTTCACCTAGTCACCCCAACCAGAAACCTGGGAGCCATCCCCAACACTTCCTTGTTCCTCATTCACCCATTGTTCCTGATCAATTCCCAAGTTCTGTCAACACTCCTTTCTGCTTTCTAGTACAATTTGTGTAAGGTTCGTGTTATTTCTTCCTTAAGTGTTTGCTAGGATTCACCAGGGAAACCATTTTGATCTTGTGTTGGGTGGAGGTGGTGGTGTTGTTTTTTTATAATGACTGCAAGTTGTGTCATAGATATAGGGCAATTTAAATTTTCTGTTTCCTCTTGTGTCAGTTCAGTCCTCTTTTCTAAATATAACTGAGACACTGCTGCTGCCTCAGTCCAGGCTCCAGCTGATCCCTCTACCGGTCTGCCCACATGTTTTGTCCCATGCCTAGCCACTCTCCACAAGGCTCACAGAGAGTTGTCTTAAAATATAGACTGGATTGGCTCACACACTTTCTCAAAGCTTGTCAATGACCTTGTCCTCATCTCTCTCAAGACTGCCACTGTCCACCTTGAACCTTATGCTGCAGTCATATAAGCTGCTTCTATCAGCCTGCACTCACACAATAAGCTGTTGCACACCTTGACTTTGCTCATGCTGTTCCCTCTACCAGAACATCCTTCCCACATTTTTTCTCCTACTTAAGTCTCCCTCCGCATTCTAGACTCAGCTTAAACTCAGTATCTCCTCCTTTTTAGTTCATTGGCACTACCCACTTACTTAAGTCAGAAACCTGGGCATCACCTCTGACTCCCCCCTCTCCCTTATCCTTCAAAACTCAGTGTAGGCATCCCCTCCACCAGGAAGCTTTCCTTGATTGCCCAGGGTAAGCCTCTCCTTTGTGTTCCCAATGCAACGTGTTCATATCATCCTCTTACACTGACATATTATATGGATATATCAGCCTCCCTCCAAAGACTAGAACATTCTTATGAGCCGAGGCCATGTCTCACGTATCACTCTCCCTATAGAAACTCAATGGAGAAGAACAATGGAGTCTCCCACCCTCACCTCCACTCTCCCTAGCTGGGGCCAGCACAGCCAGGCTGGGCACAGGTACCTGGGATTCTATCATAATCTCGAAGCTGCCGTTCAACATAGTCCCACTTGAGGACAGTGCAAGCGCTGGCACCTGGCTGGGCCAGAGCCACGTAGAGGTCACTGGAGTAAAAGAAGGGCTCAGCTGACACCGCTGGGAAGGACAGGGTCTGGTACAGCACGAAATCTGCAGGGATTGGGGTGGGGAAGAGTGAAAGTTTGTTGGATGATAAGGATTGCATAGTGAGCAAGGCAGCGGGGTGGGGGTTCAGGTGATGCCTGTGGAGCTCCCTTGGGGAGGCGCAGCCTGAGGCCAGAGGCAGGGGCACCTCCTACCTGTGGTGATGCAGTCGAACTCCCGCAGTGGCAAATCCTGCACTTTGTGCTCTTGGAAGCGGGGCGGGCTGGCGCAATAGATGGGGGCCACCGTGGTGTTGGTGTGTGCCAGCCACTCCACCAGCCACTTCACCTTGCAATCGCAGTTGAGCGAGTTGCCTCGCAGGTCCCTGATCATGAGGGTGATGGAGGGGACAAAGAGAGGACAGGCTCTCAGCTGCTCAGCCCACCCCCCAAAACCAAGCCCTCCAGCTTCTCAAGCCTTTATGATCTTCCCAATGCCAGTTCCCACACCACTCCCTCCCGGGACGTGCCCCTCTGTGGCACTGTCGAAAGAGCTAGGACTCAGGCCTTACAAGTCACTCAGGATGTCCAGGGGCCGGAAGATGTCTCTAGGCAGTGTCTGCAGGTTATTGTTGGCCAGTGAGCTGCAAGAGAGACCCGTGGGTCACCTGAAGATGGTGACTGAGGCCAAAGGCCATGAGAGAGAGAGATGGGTGTGTGTGTGTGGGGGGGGTGGGGGCAGGGTGGAGACTGTGGTCCGATGAATGAATGTATGTGTGGGATGTACTCACAGGTGTGTTAAAGACTTGAGTCCTCGGAAAGTAAACTTAGATAATGCCCAGATGTCGTTGTTCTCAATGAAGCTGGAGGAAATGAGAACAGTGTCAGCCATCACTCAGGATCCCCGGTTCCCACCCACTATCACCACCTATTTCCATACACCGTGCCTAGATCCCCACCCATGGCCCTCAGACAGGCTTTTATTCCTAATGTGGTGGCCTGAAGCCTGTGGTGACAAGGCATCCAGGCAGGACCATACAGGCAGGGGGATGGATGAAGTGACCTCTGCTCTGCGCGGTCCTGCCGTCAGAGGATTCAAGGGCTCTCAATGCCCCCAGCCTTCCTCATTCAACCTCGTCTCTGAGCCCACCCAAGCCCTTCCCGTCCTCCCTTCGACTCTCCATTTCCCCTTCCTTCCCACACACAGGTACTGCAGGTGCGACAGTCCTGTGAAGGCGTTGTCTCCGATCAGCGTAAACTTGTTGGAATTGAGTAACCTGGAGAGACAAAGGCAGAGTTAGAGCTTCCAAGGGTGTGCCTGCTGCCTCACCCCTGGGCTTCTTCAAGGCCTGGCTGCCCTGCCTCCCACCCTGGGACCCCAGCGGAGAACCCCAGAGCAGCCGGGGCAGCAAGACCAGGCAGGAGCTGTTCTGGTCCCAGAAACTCCCAGGGTCCCTGAAAGCTCTCAGGGTAAAAAACGGCCAGGGCAGATCTTTCCTGGCAAGCTGGGTCTACCCCATGGCATCTCTGCTCTGTGTCCCACTCCCACCCAGGCTCTGTCCAGTCCCTCTAGGGCCGATGGTGAGAAGGAGGTGGGGCATCTCTAGTGTACTCTCTCATGTGACCAGGACTTCAAATGTAAACAACCCTTTTAGAATTCCAGGCTCTATCGTCTTCCCTCAGTTCGGTTCCCAGCTTTCTTCAAACCCTAGGGGCACCTGTCTCTAAGATGACCCTTCTCCCCTGCAGTGTCCACCCTCTGGCACCCACCCAATTTATTGCACCCAGTTCCTTTGGGTCTCTAGAGGAGGCAAGTCCATTCCTAACTGGGCCCTAAATACCCACATCTTGGCTTTTGCATGCAATCCCTTTCCTCCTCCCCAATCACTGCTCCTCCCCCCTTCCTGACCCCAGGCAGCTCCACCTCTTGTGGCATATCCATCAGGGCAAACGTAGGGACGCCTGCATCTTAATTTCCAGAATCTGTCTGTTCCCTTCCACTGCCCCTCCCCAAGCCACCCCCACCTCCCACAAGGCCCTGTCCATACAGGAACTGCAGCAGCGGCAGGTGGGAAAATGCTCCATCCTGGATCTCCGAGAAGGCAGCGTTCACCAGCGTCCTGCAGGGGATACCTGCGTCAGTCCTCCACCTGAGACCGTCTTCCCCTTCTCACTGCCTGCCTTCTTCATTACCTCCCCGACTGCCCCCTGAGCACCAGCGGCCCAGGCTTAGCTCCCCTCAGCCAAAAGAAGCTTCCATTAGCCACACTTCCATGATCATCCAAACACCCACAGTGTGCTGGGTGCTCTTGAGCCATGGGGCCCTCGAATGGGAATAGGGATTAGCATCCTGCTCCCAAGGACCACGCAGCTGATCTGGTCCAGGAGGCCACTGCTGCAAGTGACAGTCTGACTGGCTGGGTGCAGAGTGGCTGGCGAGAGCAGTGACAGGCACCTGCCCCGTGCCAGGGTGCAGTGTGGGTGTATCTCACTCCCACCCCTCCCTGGCTGCTCCCCTCCCTCCCCCACTAGAAGCCTTTCTGCCCTTGATGTGACATCACAGGCAAGGGCCCACATGCTGGGGTAAGCAACCCCCCTCCCTCCAAGTCCAAAGGCCTGCACACAGTAGGTCTCATTGATGCTGCTGGTGGTGATGATTCATTCTTGGCCACGAAGCCCTGTTTTCCCCAGCCATGGCTGCTGAGCCTGCGTGACTGCAGAAGTCCCTGCCTGGCTACCCTGAGTCTCCGGTCCTGAGGTTCCCCTGGAGTCCTCCTGGTCCCCACAGTCCGCAGAGGGGGAACGGGGGTCTCCCTATCCACTCCCAGAGTGGTCCTTGCCCTCCTCCCCCTCTTGGCTCACCACCCCCGGGGCCAGGGCTGGGCACTCACAGAGAGATGACCTCGGCTGGCAGATTCCTGGGCACTGCCTTAGAGTCCACGCAGAAGGCCGTGTCCCTGGTGCAAGAGCAGCTGGGTGGACAGGGGGGCGTTTTGGGGGGTCTCTTGGCACTGACTTGCAGGATCAGGCAGAATCCAAGCGCGGACA